CTCTGCTATCTAATCCCCCAGGGAGCTGGAAGGTGGCTTTGGTTCCCCGCAGGTGTTTCAATTGGCTTTTGCATCGCTGTGACCAATATTACTGACAAGAACAACTGAGAGGAGGAAAAGTTTGTTTGGTTCATGGTTTCAGAGATGCAATCCATGGCCCGCCAATTCCGTAGCTCTGGGCCCAAGGTGAGGCAGAACATCATGGTGGAAGGGTGTGGCAGAGAAAGCAGCTCAGGACAAAACAGCCAGAAAGGAGAGAGAGAGAGACAGAGAGAGAGAGCAGTGATCTACTTGTTCTAGCCTGTCATCACCACCCAGTGAAGTAGTCCTTTCAAATGATTAATCCACCATGATTGTTACAGGGGCTGTAACCTCAGTCACAGAAAGACTCATTTAAACCATAACAACAGATGGAACAAGAAAGATAGAAGGGAGAAGAAAGAGCAGCACTGAGCTCGTGTCACTGTCACCCTCCCACCTGGCTTAYTTTGTCTTTCCTCTGCCCCCCTCCCTCTAGGACCCAAATCTTTATGCTCCCTCATCCTGGATCACTGAATCCCAGGTTTCCCAGATAACTGGGGTTCTGACTTCTAGAATCAAAGAAATCCAGAGGCGATTTCCTACCTGGACCCCCGACCAGTACCTGAGAGGTATGTATATACCACCATCGGTCAGTCGCTTCATAGCATGGAATCTATAGGGACAGATGTGACATCACACCAGATTCCCCTAAACCACAGTTGCTCCTGAGAGGCAGTGAGGAAAGATAATGAAAATTTTCTATTGGGTATCCAGAAGCAACAAGGGACTGTTGTGGCAGGATTAACTTATCACATGAATTTCAGGTGGACTCTGTGCCTACAGTGGGGGCCCTGGCTTTGTCAGAAGCAGCCAGGACCTGGGCTGTGACTTCTGCAATGATGTCCTTGCACGAGCCAAGTACCTCAAGAGACATGGCTTCTAGAACTTCAGGTGAAACCAAAGTTTATTATCATCCATGAGATCTCGACTATTATGCAAATAATGTCAGCCGATGGGGTTTGCAACTGCAATTCTGAGCTTGACCAGAAGATCATCAAAATTGCATGAACCACATTAAATGAAGAGTTGTTACCTGCATTTTGTCATCTTGTGAATGTGTGTGTGTGTGTGTGTGTGTGTGTGTGTGTGTGTGTGTTAAATAATGGGCTGTGTCTCTTTAGCACTATTTCCACAGATGTTAGCACTCCTGTGGATCTCTGTGAAATGAATCTTATACCTCATTGGCTATCACCAGGTTTAGCAAAGACAAGCACGGAAAACTCAGTTTCAGTATAAATTCCATATTATTGTTTATAATATTTTTTGATGCTGGGTGTTGAACTCAGGGCCTCACCCTTGCTAAGCAAACCTCTACCACTGAGTTACAGCCTCAGACCCAACAAGGAATTTTTTTTGTGTAGGTTCCATGTAATATGTGGAACATACTGACACTAAAAAATTATTCATTGTTTATCTGAAATTCAAATTTAACTGGRCTTCCTGTATTTTATCTGGCAGACCTAACTGACTTTTTGGATAAAAATCAGATTAAAATGTAACTGAAAACTTTTAATGAGAAGAAAGGCATATGAAAGGCGAAATAGTTTTGAGAAAGTCACTTGCAAACTTTGCATTGTGATCCTAACCCTGGGATGCCTCACATCTAAGGTCACCTTCTCCTCTCCTTTGCTGGACAACAAAACCTCCTACACCACAGCTCCCCAGCTTCCCACCCAAAGTATCCAGATCTTAGCTAAAGTCTTCCCTTTTGGGGGTCACTTYAGTCACCCATAGAACCAGGCCACTGGAGGTAATGTCACTGTGCACTTGGTAAATTACTGAATCTGAGGGTTGTATACTATACAAGGAATTGATGTCCCATTCTGTCAACTGACCAATATCAGCCCTTTACAGAGTGGCATTCTAGAGCAGCTCTCATCATTTCATCTTCGGCCTGTCCCTAAATCATTTTTTCAAAGCAACTCCTATGTGTCCAGTACCCCATGAAGATACGAGAGTCTCTGTCCATAGAACTATCAAATCAGAGAATGCTTGGAGACAGCAGTCCACACAGAAGAGGAGAAACAACCATACTGTGATAAGGGATGGGGCAGGGCATGCATATAGTGTGAAGTTCCTGCCTTTGTGTCAGAGCCCCATTCCCCCATGACTGTGGGTGCCCTTGATCTCCCCTGGGGCCACTCCCTTCCTGGACTCCCCACCCTCTGCCTTCCAAGTCCTACTCTCAAGGCTGAATGCAGTTAATGGATTCCCACCAAGAAAAAGATGGAGAAGACTTCATAAAGGCATCTCCTTTGCAGATGTACAGATCACAGGCAAAAGGAAAATCGAATGTGAGGCCCTGGTGCAAGCCCACAGGGAAACAGTGAGGTGAATAAAGTCCTGAGATGACAACACTAAGGAGACCTCCTGCTGCTCTCACCATGGATACAGGTGCCCAGTAAATGGGAGTCACTCTTTCCCAAKAAAGGAAAGCAACCCAGGAGCACCATGATGTCACAACGGGAGCTCTGGGGAGATACTGCACAGGTAGGGGTTAGTAAGAGAACAAGGATATTAATTAGTCAGCAATTAGCTCCTATTTAATTCCTTCTGCTCACCAGGAACTGTAAACCCAAGATGAAAAGATACAATCTTTGTTCYGAAAYGCTCCTCTTCTAGCTGGTATATGGATAATTAGCTCAGGACACAATTAGCTCATCTCTCTAAAAATGAAATAAATAAAAATCAGTAGGGAAGTTTTGGAGAAGGGAGGCCAGCATCCACACAAGAGGCAAGGCCATTTATGAGGTGCTAAACTCACATTAATGCTGACCAGATGGACATTTTTATTCAATTGAACAGATAAGAGAAGTGCTGATCAGACCAGAACTGTTGATCGACAGGAACTTGATAGGACCGTAATCCAAACCCAGATCTGTTCCATYTTAAAGCCTATCCTTTTAGGTTTCATTTTCCCCTGAGTGGCACATATACATATTTAGATGACTGGCACATGTAAGTACGTGTATGTGTTTGGTGAGGTATCAGGGTGACCATCGTCCTGGTATGCCTGTGTCAAAATTACACTCTAGCTCAAAGATCTCAACGGATTTTATTTCCCATTCTAGAAGCAGATTAATAGTTGTGAACCTGAAACTCTCAAGACAGGGATCTCTGAAATAAAAGGGTTTATTGAGCCATTTCAGATGTTAACCAGAAAGGACCAAGTTCTGGGTCCACACCTGCCAGCAGCAGAACCAGATACATTTGGAAAAATATCAGCAGGCCCAAAGCCAAGTGCATTTTTATAACAAAAAACTGGGGGAAGGAGCCCAGTGTGGTGGCCCATGCCTGTAATGCCAGTGGCTCAGGAGGCTGAGGCAGGAAGATCGAAAGTTCAAGGCCAGCCTCAGCAACTTAGGGAGACCCTAAGCATCTTAGCAAGACCCTGTCTCAAAATTTATATATATATATATATAAAGGGCTGAGGATGTGGCTCAGTGATAAAGCAACCCTGGGTTCCATCCCTGTACCAAAAAAGAAAAAAAAAGATTGGGGGAAGGGAAAGCATAAATCGTTTACACTGAATCTGAGACAGGTGGGAACCACCAGGGTTGAACAAAAGGCAAGGACCATGAAAGACACCCCTGGGCTCCATAAGCCAGGATCCTTTGTAGCAGGGCGTGCTGCTATTTGTGCTATTTGCAGGAAGACCCATCTTGGGACCTGAGAAAGCCAGAAGCAGAATGTTTGCGCAAGATGAAATTGTTACCGGGGGAAGGGGAAGCTAAGCCAAATAAACCCTCTAGCTTCACTCATGTGTAGTCAACTTAAAAATCACTCATTTGGGAGGTCACACGGCTGTGCAATACTTGTGTGTTTCCCTAAGTAGTTTTGCTGCAAATAACACCTCTGATGCGTGGGTTATGATGACATGGTTGCCTAGGTCACTTTTCAGGGACTTGAAGGCCATTGCTACCAAATACACTCGCTGTGCACTGAGGCCTGCAGATGTCTGACGGGGACTATAATATGATCTCTGTCTTCATCTTATGTCTGTTCCCTTTGCTACCTTAACTCTTGGGTCAGATTCTACTCGGCCCAGCATGCAGGCATGTTGATTGCCCCTTGGAGTTAGCATGTGCTTTTTTCTACTCCGCCCTGTGCTTTTTCAGCAGCTAAAGCAGCCCAAGCACCAAAGTCCCTCAGCCCTATTGTACATAGGTCCCAGTTTAAGCCACAAGGCCAGGATTTTTTTTTTTCTTTCTGATACTGGGGATTGAACCAGGGATGCTTAACCACTAAGCCACACGCCCCAGGCCCTTCTATTTTTTTATTTTGAGACAGGATCTCATGAAGTTGCTGAGGCTGACTTTGGACTCAAAAGAAAAACAGCCATGAACCACTGAAATGTGGAAGGTGCCCATGGACCATGGGAATGCAAAACAAGCAAAATGAGGGATCCTTGTCTGCAAAACACAAAGAGATGGGGGGCAATGCCAAGGGCAGGGAGGACAGGCCAAGATTGGGTGAGTCCACCTGACTCTAGCTACTGGTCCTCTGTAAACATTAACAGCCAGACCATGGGGTTGCTACTTCTCCCACATTCTCCCTTGAATGTGTCTCTGCTTTCCTAAATAAATCTGTCTGTGCTTCTAATTGACATGCCCTTAAATTCACTTCTGTGATGTTCATCAAGAACCCCACTAGTCCTGATTTGAGTTCCCCTCTCCAGGATCTCTCRGGACCTCCTCCAGGGACAGTCTTGAGTAACCTTCTACCAATATTCTTCAACTTAATAATAATATTCTTAAATTATACCACAATGTAATGTACCATAAGAACTTAGAGGAGAAAAATGTTATTTGGAGCTCATGGTTTCAGAGATCTCAGACAATGGACAGGCTGGGTCCATTGCTCTGGGCCCACAGTGAGGCAGAACACCATGGTGGAAGGGCAACGTGGAGGAGCACTGCTTCACTCATGGMAGGCGGGAAGCAGAGAGAGAAAGGGGAAGGGACTGCAGGAAAGATGCACCCATCCAGGGCTTGCAACCAGTGACCCACCTCCTCCAGCCATGCCCCACCTGCCCAGTTAGTCCATTCAAATTAGGATGGACTGATTAGGTTACAATCCAATCACTTCACCTCCAAACATTCCTGTATTAGCACAGGAGCTTCTGGRGAACACTTCATATCCAAACCATAATAGGGGGCTAACCAGAAAAGGGATGTCCTATCGATTGGGTAGGAGGGCATGTTCACTYTTCTCTTATTGGTCCTGAATTGGAAGCAGCTGGGAACATTAGGGCAGCTATCAGTTACTAATCTATTCCCAGCTGTTTAGGACCAGTTGTGAGAGGGGTTATTATTTGCTTCCCAGACCAGTTACTAGAGATGTCACCGGGCTGAACCTGTTTTACTGACAGCCTGTTATCCTGTCAGCTCTGTTTGCTTACAGGTGGTGCTTGCTTGGGACAGTTGAGGAGGATGTATGCTGATAACTACATGCTTCCAACTGTCAGCACTGAGTTATCACTTGCCTAGAGGAACCCCAGACTGGCTTGATCTGGTTTGGGGGCTATGTTGACACTACAGATGACCTTGGACTCTTTATAATGATACTAACACATTTACCAACACCGTGGTATTGATTTGACTTTGCCCAAATTAGCGAAGAAAAGAAGTGGCACCCTGACTCCTGGGAATCTCCTTTCTCCATGAAGTACCCTATGATTGCATGCATGCCACAAGCCCTCATAACCCAGTCCTCATCAAAATCCCAAACCCAGTCCTGTTCAGGAAGACRCCTTCAGAACACAAGCTCCCCTTCTCCATGGGATAAGTTCCCTGCCTGCTCTCAGAACTGTTTGGTCATGGATAGCAGTATCAAGCAGGAAAAGAACCTACTGGGTAATAGAGAGGGATGGTCTGCCTTCTT